TACCATGAACCAACTCGCCTACATCACGACACTATAGTCAAGCAATGGCCGCCGGTGGTGCCACTCGACCCCAGCAAATCGAGCCTTGATCCGTGATCCGGCCTAGTACAAGACATCAGTGGGCTGAAACGATCGGTTAGCAAACTGCCTTCCTGTGGTTGCCCGAACAAACTAACATATTAGGCAATGAGACCCTTGCGAACAGGCCACTGGCTAGAGTCGTCCACAATCTCCATCCGGCGGTACAATGAGCACGTCTCTTCACTGGCGTTTATTGCCTAAAGCGCCACCCTTGTTCAAAGCTTTCAAGGAATGAGCCGGCCTTATTACATCGCTTGAGGTCGAACTGCGCGCGAACACCCGATCCACTTTTCACAAACTTCAAAGGGTCAACAATTGCAACTGGGAATACTGCAAAGGAAAGGTAGCTATTAGACACGTGCTGCTTTCCTGCTCGGAGAAGGCAGACGAGCGGAAGTGCCTGTACCAATAGTACGCATTTAGTTGCCTTTCCTGCTCGACCGTCGAAGATCTTTTCCCAGCTGCACCACGCGGAACTCCGGACAGGGGCTTCAAAACTAAGCTTTTGCAGAAGGCGCGCCAGAGATAGCATCTTAGAGATGATTTCTGGTATCTTTATTTCTCTATCGAGACGCACTTGAAAGGCGTATTTGTATTTCAGTGGAGAAATATATTTACGACGTAGCGCTTGTATTTGATACCCTGCCAGGCTTAGTTTTCTCGCTACATTTTATTGTAAAAAAATTAAATGTCGAGTTTTTAAGGATAAACTGAACACCTTTTTGGCTCGAGTAGTCCGAAACTTTACAATACAAACCCGCCCTATAACCTTCTCTACAAGGGAGAAGCCTGGTGATTGAATGGTATACTCCAAACACAAACATTAAAGAAAGAAAAAAAGGCAGGGTGGTTTCGTGAAAGGTCACCAAAAAGAATAGCAGAATAAGCTCATCCCGCAAAGTTCTTGTTTCATTCCACTTTAGCAAAGTGAACGCTGGAAAGGAGGCGAGGGGCGAGAAAGAAACCGCCGACATTTATAGCAAACAACTTGTGCCAGGGACTTTTCTTTCTCTTATGTATTGTGTGGCTCGGTTGTCCGATCTCCTCAACCTGCGTGACTCGGAGGCCCCGGAAAAGCAGAGTTCATTTCGATCAGACGGCTTTTGTCAAGCATGGCAAGCAATCACGGGCTTTCAGTATACCTTTATAGTTCATTGGGGCAATAGTGCCTATTACCGGCACTTGTGATGGTAGCTGAATAGACTAAGAGTTCAAGGTAGTGCGAGATGCATGAAACTAAGACAAAGTGTGGAAAAAATTATCTATGTGTCTGTATAGTATGTATTCCGAGATACCTTTCCGCCGTCTTTGCAGACGCACCTTACGGATATACCGTTAGGTAAAGGACAAATGTATCCCAGTATCTGTATTTTCGCCTTAAAATACATGTATCGCAGTATTTGTAATCTAATATATTTTTCGAAGTATTTCTGCCTAGCCCTGCCGGGTAGCGACTTACCCCGCAGAGGAGGCCCACACCTCTCCCGATTATCCCCCTTTTTTCTGGACAACACCAAACAAACAATTAAAACGCCCACATTGCCACCTTGATTCTTCGCATGTGCAGAGTGACGTCCCAAGCTGCTTGGCTAACCCAAATTGTTAGGGCCCAAGATTCACGTGACACACGCAAAGTACAACAGGTAGAAATGCTCCTCCGCACGGTTTCGTACGCACGTCAAAACGAATTGAAGCGCCCAGCCAACGTTGACCGCGGCAATGACGAATAGCATGCACATACTGAATCGGGACGTCATGTGCATTCATCCTTTATAAATCTATCGTTTAAAAGCGACGCCGGCGGTGGGCACGGGTTCACTCTTTCACCGGCAAAACTTGTTCGCAACTGAGTACAAAAAGTTTGTTGGTCTGAAATGAAGGCCCGGGAAGCTTACTTTAGCATTCCCTCGGCGGCACAGAATAAATGCTCGAAGTATACTAGGTTTTCTGGGCTGCCCGCTCGAACTGTAATCGCATGCCTTCCAGTGACGTCACGGCATGGAGGGTCCAACTCCGAACTGCGACGGAGTTAAGCGCTCAGACCTTTGTATCGCGAAGATACTACCTAATAAATTGTGCGTTTGTGCTGATATTTCTTCTCTCCTTTAGGCCGGGCAAGAAGAAAACCCTAATTTCAGGGTGATTGTGGATGCTGTGAGCAAAATTCAGACAGAAGAGAATGTTCATCGAAATATTCAGGAAAGTGTCGTTCTGTCAAGCCTGCTGCCAGCGAATAAAGGGGGCCGCTTCCAGTATTTCGGGTCGCTCACAACGCCACCCTGCTCGGAAGTTGTCACCTGGATAGTCTTGAGAAAGCCAGTCACGGTCAGCGAATCTCAGGTAAAATCATGATGTTAGGAGTATCTTGTAGCTGGAAGATGTTAATTTAAAAAGTAACCGTTATAAACCTAACGTTTAATACTCGCAAAAATAAAAATAAAAAAAGAAAACACCGTCAATTTAGTGTAAGTTTTACGACATTGTGTCATAAAACTTACTTTTCGTTGAAAAAAAAAAGGACGTGCGACATATACTTGTTTTCTTTCGCAGACGTTGCTTTCAACGACAGCGCAATTATCGTCCTTAACATTTTATTTCTGTGCTGTTTACGATTCTGCAAATTTCCCCGCTAAATCTAGCGGAAAAATTTCTCTGGGGGGTCACCTGACACCCCCAGGTCACGTGACCCCCACGTGATTTTGGGGAGAGGGTCACGTGACCTTGGGGGTGACGTGACCCCACCAAGGTCACGTGACCTCAGGGAAATTCACGTGACCTTTGTGGCCTTGGCTCCTCCTCCTCAAGAGCTGCGCTCTAACTCGGCGTTACAGGGAGTTGTAAACGGCTTTCATTTTTTATTGTCTATATAGATGCAAGTTGTAGTCATAAACACGCAAAAAAGGCATGGCAAAAAAAATTTACGCGCGCGCGCACCTTTTTTTTTTGCGTTTTTTTCCGCTTTTCGCCTCTTTTGATTCGTGACGTGAAGAATCATGAAATTCCTAAGCTTTGTAGGCGGCATTTCTATAACATTTAATAAAGGCAATCGTAAGACATGTTTTTTTAACGCAATTGCGAACGCACTACGGCCCTTCTTTTTGAAATACCAAAAATCGGAGTCCGGTGTGATGTCGCCTTCTGGAATCGTATCCTCCCTCGGAAAACATGCCGCCTGGGCAGGCGGCACCGCTCGCACGGAATAAAACCGTTTTTTGTAGCGTGAGCTACACTGGCTGAGGTTGAGCAGTTTAGCGTGGCTGTCGGAGAGCCGTGACGTCACACGGCGCACAGCTGGCGCGCCTCGCCGGTCTGCGCATGCGCGAGGAGCAGTGACGTCACACGGCGCAGAGCTGGCGTGCCTGAGCCGCCGCCACCGCGCGCTCCGCCGCCACTGCGCGCGCCTCGCCGGTCTGCGCATTCCAGAGGAGTGACGTCATAGCCGCGGCAGACGCACTGGCGCCGCCGCGTGCCCAGCTGTGCGCCTCCGTTGCGCTGTAGCCAAGTCTGACGCTGCACCGGAGCCGCTTGATAGCGCCTCTCATTTTGTGCACATAAGCTCACGCTACATATATCCTGGCATAGCCGAACTAAGCCACCGCAATATTTTTATTGAGAAACAAGTTGGTACGCCACGCCACTGGTGTTGTCCCAATTTTTGTCTCTAGTCTCAAAGTTGTTTTTTTTTTCCCCACTATGATTGTTTACCAGCTCGCCTGCGCAGTAACCGTTATTTCAGTAAGAAAGGACTCTGTTTAATTTCAATCTGTGACGTGAACTTTTTGTATTTCTCGCTAACGGGCTCACCTTTCGCAGATTCTTGTAGAAAAAAAAAACAGAAAGTCAGGAAGCAGCTTTTCCTTTCAAGCGGCAAAAAAAAAAAAAAAGTAGAGGATTGTGCATAGAAAGCGCAAGGTTAAGGCTTTGCATAAGGTAGGACTGCCTTTGAGGAATGGCGAAACTGGCCTACACTGAGAGAAATTTAGCCAGTGCAGTACGGCTGCTAGTCTGGTGTCTTTACCCCCCCTTCACACTGGAAGCGGATCCGCGTTCGCGAAGCGGTTGCGAACGCGGTTGTATGAAGATCCAGTGCAATTGCACGCGCATTTGATGTCATCAAATGCGCGTGCAATTGTACTGAATCCTTATACAACCGCGTTCGCAACCGCTTTGCGAACGCGGATCCGCTTCCAGTGTGAATGAGCCCTTAATGTGCATCAAGCAGTTGTGATTTCACGACCGCACGCAGGCACGATGCTCATCCAGATTGAAACGGGAAGGGTGGGGATTGAACCCAAAATTCATGGGTTCTGCGACGCGAGCTTTCGCTCCACGTGCTCCTAGCTGAGATTCGCTAACATACTTGGACAACACTGATCACAACTAGGAGACTGAATGTCTCATTGAGCAAAGAGGTATGAAGCCACCGGAAGTAAGCGGCTTGTCCCTGAAGTTAGCATTTGACAGGCTTTCTAACCCTTCCGATCGCTGGTTCAAACAGCGTCGACGGCGCTGGAACGTTTCTTGTCATCTCAAGAGAGCCTGCTTTTTGCGCAGTAAGAGCGTATGCAGACCCTAGAAGACTCATAGGAAGCCATTCCATGTGAACGTTTTGAGATTCTATAGGTTGATCAAGTGTGCATATGTCCTACGTTCAAATGCCCTATTCTTGAGATTTACTTCAAAACGGGATTATTAAAACCCATTCAAGGGCACAAGAAAGTATGAAACAAGACATCGTATAAATGCCCTCGGAAGACCAGCAGACGCCCGACTTCCAGGACAAGCATCGACCATCCGGTGACTTTATTTGTGCCAGGCTCGGAGAGCATCTATGTGCCATCCATCACAAATATGACTAAATCGTGAGTTTCAGTCTCTGGTGACGCTAATTTATTTGTACACTTGTTCCTTTCTTCTAGATGGACGTTTTTCGCAGAGTGCACGCTCGTGGCCATGACAATGGTACGACACACGACCTGGTAGACAATTACCGACCACCGATGCCCCTGAACGGCCGATATGTCCTGAGGAACTTCCTTTGTCCGCCATTGCAGAAAGGACAAACCAAGGTGCACGCACCCGCGAGAACACCAGATTCAGTCGAGGGTCAAGAGTAATGTGTAGCGTTGTAAAAGGCCGGGGTGCGATCGCGTAGCTTTCACAAACTACCACTTCCTCTTTGCCAGTGCTCTTGCAATCAGCAATAAGATATTGAAGATTCCTTTTTTTTTTTTTTTCTTCTAAAAATGCGGTTATGGAGAATCAAGCTGTTCACTTTTGTTGGACGATGTTTCACACTGCGTAATTGCCCATGTGTTGACAGTATCGAAAAGGTATACAAAATAAATGAAGATCTATTGGTGCAGTGGTTCTCAAATGGGGGTCCGCGGACCCCAGGGGGTCCGCGAAGCCACTTTGGGGTCCGCCAGACCCTCAACAATTTTTTTTAGTTGATTAACTGACCACGTATTGATGAACTGACCAAAATGAAGTGATGTGGCACCTTTTGTCTTATGTTTTTCTGCTACGTAGCAATAAAAGGCACCTGTTTCATGCTCCAGATGTGTTAACTTACTAACGTCCCCTCCCCGCTGGAAGGGGTCCCCCATCACTGCCAGCGGTCCGCAAGGGGTCCCCGACACATCCATGGCTGAGAACCACTGCATTGGTGGATCCTTAATTAAGGAATGCGTTAGCATGATTCTTGGAAAACACCACAGGACGTAACGAGTTAAAGCATAAAGTTCAGAATCGTTTGGCGGTGTGAATTACGCTCCCCATTTCTTTTTCACTTGGGCTTCACGCTAACGAAGGCTACTACCATAGTTGATGTGACCAAATGTATGACTGAGAGTTTAGTGAAATAGGTGTATGGGCTTCGTCATTGACCCGGTAAGGAATGACGTCACAACATGGCGCTGTTCTCCGATCAAACCGATGCTAGGGCATGGGCAAATGCATGGCGTCTTGATGCGAGGTTAGAATGTGCGTGATAAAACGTTAATGCATTTTTGTGAGCATGGCTTCTTTTAAATGTTTAGTCGTTAAGACCTCTTCTGTAGTCCCAGTGCTATGTAGAGATGACAAAAGCCCGTAATAAAATGTTACAACTCGTTCGGTCTTGCTAGCAGACGACACGATAACTTCGTGCGTCAAGCTTGGTGCAGTGGTCCTTTCTGATGGAACACGCGACCGCGGTGAATTAGGTTAGTGACGAGCGACGAAACCACTATTCTCGGGGTCATTTTTCTGTCGAATCTCCGAAGCGAAGAGTGCCCATGCACAGCTATAATCCACGCTCGAGGTGTGCGAGCGCGCCAAACGCCTGCCCAAAAACCCCTCAATATTTTTTTTAGGTGATTTATTATGGTGTCTGAAGATTACCCTATCAATATTGTGCTACAGCGTCAAGTATATTTTTTAATAAAGTCAAAATATGCAACTGCTCAAAGCCGAAAGTTGACAGGGAAGGAAGAAGAAATATAGAGGAGCAGAAAGCTACCAAAACTCACGTGGCTGTGCAACTTTTTTTTTTTAGACAACGTTTTTGCAGTTTATTGGAGACCACAAAACTTTGGTATTATATTTTTTGTCTATTTTTAGTATTGAGCGTATCCCTTCGATGACCCATGACTTTGATTATCTTTGGTGGTTGCGTCTAAACCCATACAGTTGTTACAATAAACGCTAGAGGCTCAGGTGGCGCTAGTGTGCTGTTGCATTTTGAAGCAGACAGCAAGCAGTCAGAAACTGACTTCCGGTAATGCATTTCTATGGGAAAAAGCGAGTTCATTTTCTCTCTGCGCTAGATTATAAGAGAAAATATCACGAATAATTTGTACGTACAAGGCACATTGGAACAGTTCTCAGTCACGCAGACGAAATAATTGGTCAGTTACAGCATTTTTATTTGAAATTCGTGGCATGAAAAACTGTGTTAAAACCGCTTCGTACGTGTATTTATGTGCACTGTCGGACACTGTTAGCGTGAACACAGCGTACGCTTTCCAGCATGGGGGATATACGTGCCAAACGAACGAAGGACATGTGGAAAACCCAGTCTTGTACACGTTACTAAAAAAAAGTAATTGATTACAATTATTATTACTCTTGGCTAAAAAGTATTCGATTAGATTATTTCATTACTCGACGGCAAAAGTAATTGGACATTACTTAAAGAAGTAATCGTTACTTTTCCGATTACTTTATTGTGTGAAGACACACCTTTAGCGCTCATAACAATGAACTACTTCCAACCTATATTTCACATTTGCACAAGTACTGAAGAAGGAAAACTGGCTCCCTCTTCGTGGTCGTTGCACCTTCACAATCCGGACACAAGCATATAATTCGTTTGAAGACGTTTAATGATTTGGGCGTTCGCCAGTGTGTGTGTGTGTGTGTGGGGGGGGGGGGGGGGGGGGGGGGGGGGGGTAGCGGAGAGGGTTCTAGATCTTGTTAAGCTTGAGCAAGGCTTGTCGCTCAAAGTTTGCGTCGCTCATTTTATTATTCCCATGTGGATGAACTCGCATGTTATACAGAAGAGCAGCAGCTCCAGGATTTGAAACGGATCATGTGTAGTATTCATTAGCGGAAGAGATCGCCCCCGACCACTTCTCAACTCGAAACATTGCTTGTCAAAAATAATCCGTAGTGGAAGTGGGGAAATATTTCAACTGGCTTTGTTATATTTTGCATCAGCTTTAGGCATTCTTTGGTTCTGGTTCACCTACGGGCTGCGAGTAGGTACCCTAAGCTGGATTTTTTATTTTTTTTATTTCTGTGTGTGTGTGCGTGAGGGGGCTAGTTTGAACGAAGGACTCACAAAGCTACATTCTGCTTCCTCAAACTTCGGCCTAAATGGCCTTTGTCGCGCACTGTGGCTTCTCTGGGGCTTCCACTCACAGTCCCAGCTTGAAAAAAAAACAAAAAAAAAAAACGGACATTCCACAGAAACTGCACATAGAAAGAGATTGACCTCGTTTCCTGCAGCTCCGCAGAAATCTTTCTTTTTTCCATTCGAAAAAAAAAAAGCAAATTTTATTTTAGTCATTTCATAAAAAAAAGGCGTGTGCCCGGGGGGGGGGGGGGGGGGGGGGGGGGGTGTTTCGTGGACAAATTGTAACGGTTACAAGTAATTTTATTACTTAAAAAGTAATCAGATTACTGTTGTGATTACTGCCTAATAAAAATAATCAACTGATTACAAAATTACTCTGTAAAGTAATCGATTACAAGTAATTTGATTACTTGTAATGCGTACGGTACAAGTCTGGGAAAACCAAGAGAGATGGCAAGAACTACGCAGTCAACACTGGAACACTGGATAAGTAACTCCTTGTGCACGCAGGCGATCAAAATAAATTGAAAGCCACGTAATATAGTCAGATTTGCAATAAACAGGTACTGCTTTAATCTTTCTGCTCATGAATATGTGTGAAGATGCTTGTTCTGGGTTCAAATTATCACCCGCACGCTCCAAATCTTTGTAAATAGGGGAAGCCAGAGAGCAGGTGCCCGATAAAAACTGCCCGACATAGGAATAAAAAGACACACCTTTCGTAGCTCACGTGCTTTATTTTTTTTTTTTTTTTTTTTTTTTTGCGTTCGACTGTTCTTTAACTGATCGTAAAGATGCACGACGGAGTCATTTTCATCCAATGTTAGGACGGGCATATTAAAAATATATAAGCACCACCGAAATGCTGGCGAACCTTGAACACACTCTACATTCCTTTCGA